AAAAGTAGAAAAATTCAGAGGGTAATAATTTTTTTCTAGTAATACCCCATGATTAAATAACTTATGTATATGAGTTCATCACATCAGCCCCTAAGCTTTCTTAACTTTCTTAATTCCCTACTCACCAGAAAGAAGTACAGCAAAAGGGAAAAAATAAATTGAAAGAGGCAGACTAAGCTAGTCCTCACGCTGACTGTGTATGAAGAGCTGGGCTAAATTGAGCACAGAATTCTGAGTAGCTGCCCTACCTTTGACTATTGAAGTGGCTGCAGTGTTATAGGGACAAAGGCAGTTGTTTCTTAATTGGGACCGAGAGAGTAAAGGTATTGAAAAATTCCTTTGCATTCGCAGATGTCTTGAATATCTCTGGTTTTGACTCTGGTTTTAGAACACCTACAGACATAGTGTGCCTTTAGACAATATGTATTCCTTGGAGTTTAAACCAAACAAAAATCTACTGCTGAAGCACCTCACAGAATATCACTAAAGAAACAAACAAGGAGGCCTGGTGTGGTGGCACATGCCTTTAATCCCAGCACTCCAGAAGTAGAGGCAGGCTGATCTCTATGAGATCAAGGCCAACCTGGTCTACATAATGAGTTCTAGGACAGGGAGGGCTATGTAGTGAGACCTTGCCTCAAAAAACAGCCACAAAAAAATAACCAAACAAGGGACTGGAGGGATGACTCAGTAATTAAGAACACTTGCTACTCTTGCAGAGGAGCTGGGTTCAGTTCCCAGCACCCACATGGCAACTAACAACTGTCTGTAACTCTAGTTCTAAGGGATCCAACACCCTCTTTTGGCCTCCATTTTACACACCTGTGGTGCACTTACATACAGGCAAAACACTCATACACATAAAATTAAAAAAATAAAAATAAAAACCTCAGCTGGGCGTGGTGGCACACGCCTTTAGTCCCAGCACTTGGGAGGCAGAGGCAGGTCGATCTTTGTGAGTTCAAGGCCAGCCTGGTCTATGTAGAGAGGTACAGGCCAGCTGGGGCTATAAGGAGACTCTGTCTCAAAAAGCCAAAAAAAACCCAAAAAAAACCCCAAAACTCTTGAGGTGGGCATAGGGGCCTGTACCTGTAATCCTAGCACTTGGGAATTTTAAGCAGGAGGATCCTGAGTTAAGGGTCAATCAGGCCTGTTTGGTGAGCCCCCTCCCCTATAAAAGGCCAGATAATATGGCACATTCTTGTAACCTATAACCCTAACATTTCAGATGTAGTGGCAGGAAGATCATGAAATTGAGGCCAACTTGGGCTACATAACAAGACTCAGTTGTTTGTTTTTATTTTTAAATTATGTGTGTATGTGTGTGTTTGTGTACATATGAGTGGAGTGCAGGTGCCCACAGAAGCCAGAGTCAAATACCCCAGGAGCTGGAGTTAGTTACAAGTGGTTGTGAACTTCCTAACGTGGTTGCTGGGAGGTTGAACTCCGTTCCTCTGGAAGAGCAGTATATGCTGTTAAGTGCTGAGCCATCTCTTCAGCCTTCCCCCCACCCCCTTTTAAGGTATACTCTAACCCAGACTGAGTTTGGGCTAGCCTGTAACTCAGAGTGAGCCTCCTATCTCATCTTCCTAAGTGTTGGAATTATGGACATGAGCCACCACACCCAGCTAAGACTGTCATTTAAAGAAAAAGAAAAAGGGAAAGAAAATAATTAAAAAAATTTTTTTTAAATTATTTCTATTTTATGTGTATGCATGTATTGCCTGCATGTAGGTAAGTGCACCACAGAAGA